AGTTATTGAAATACTAGAGGAGGTGTTAAATTACTGAAGTTGTTTATACTTGTCTGGAGGAAGGAGGGGAGTTTATATTTTTCCTTTTCTTATTTTTTCCTTTTTTCTTTTTTTTTCTCCTTGCACTTTTTATTTATTTCACTTTTTATATTTCTCTTAGCTTGTATTAGTCTTTTATCTTTGTATTTGTAAACTTTAATTATTACCAAAAAAAAGGTTATACATGATTTTATAACAAAGCACTTCTTGTTCTTGGCATGCTGGCTTGCTTTTACACAAATAAAAGTTAATTGTTTTACCCTGGGTTTTTAGTTATTACTTATTCATAATTAGAGAACCAATGTGGTATAGAGGTTAAAGCACAAGGCTAGAAATGGGAGTCTGTGAGTTCTATTCCTACCTTAGGTACAAAGCCTTGGGTTAGTCCCTCTCTCTCAGTCCTAGGAAGGAAGCAACAGCAAATCACTTCCGAAAAACTTTGCCAAGAAAACTGCAGGGACTAGTCCAGGCAGTTACCAGGAGTCAACACTGACTCAGAGGCACAAAAAATCATCATCATAACTTTATTTGGTATTTATACAGTCATTTTAAAAAATGGATGGCATAAATCCACCTAATGAGATTATGGTAGAGATTAGGTTTTATTAAGCTATTAAGCAGTCTAGCTCATACCATATGTTCTCCTGCTGATTCTGAGAAGGAATGAGGAATAACATATCCAAATCCCCAGGAAAACCAGATCATGGGGATTGAAATATTAGCAGAAAATCTTGCTAATTCAGATAATGTGCTCTAATAGAAAAAGTGATCCAGACCACAGCAGTATTGTACAAAACCTTGGACAGACTGCTTACATATCCTGCTTGCTCTTGTTTGAGTCCAATTAAATATAATGTAAAGAAACTGTTTCCTCCTGGCAAACAAAGAACCTCACCTCTTAGACCTATTACACTGTATACAAGGAAGCCAAACACGTATAAATGAGAGAAACATTTAGTTTTAAGGCAGCTTTTTCTAACCTGGAACTTTCCAGGTACATTTGGCATGGCTGGGAGTCATGGAGATATAGCCTAACATTTTTAAAGGCTACCAAAGTGGCTCTAGTTGCATCTTGATCATCTCTCAGTACACTACACGTACTTCCAAGTTGATGGGATACAGGTCACAGGATGCTAGCTTGCAAGGTAGTGTGGAATCAAAACACAGGACACAAAGGCAAAATAATCAAGGCTTCACTGCAGTGTTTATTAGGCAGTACTTACTGGAGGGGGACCCCACTAAAGGTTAGTGGGAGACACTCCCCTGTAGGCAGAATGTCCCTGTTCTTGGCTGCTATCTACAAGGACAGAAGAACTGCTATCTATAAGGAAAGCAATAGTGTCAGAGGGGAAGAAACAAATTGTTCAAGGTGCCAACTGCCAGGAAGACAACATCCTCTCT